TGTGGAGTGCCATCACCATTTGCTGGACGTGTTAATCTTCCAATTGGCCGGGGTTTGAATAATTGGATTTGTATGGTTGCCCTACCTGGATTGAATTACTGTGGGATGAGCATGTCATGCTGCCAGTAGGTGATTTATAGTCCTTCACCTTTTAATAATATGGTTAATGGTCATCAAACAATAATTTGATAATGGTGAATGTATATTGAGTTGGTTGAACCTTTTATCAGGTACAAAGTGATTGAAATACTGGCTGATGGTTCTTCTGCACCAGTTGAGTAGAGGACGAACTCACCATGTAACATTTATTCGTGTTCATTTTAAATATTCCATGTTGACAGTTAAAAAATTTGTCCTGAACATGCCTATGACCACAGCTGATGCTTTCATGAGTTCTCTATGTTGAAAATTTTCATCCTGAAAATGCATTTGAGCACACATCATAAGTTCTCTATGTTGATTGTAACAACCTGCATGTCAGTTTCAACTTGATGCAATAGATACCCTGAGAAATTTCTTCATTAGACTGGTGATTTGGTATTCATACCTCAAGACCTCTTTTTCTGGTTCTTCTATTATTCTTGTGTATTATATAAATCTCATGTCATGCGGTGTATGTTCTTTTTTTCTATTCTTGATCATTAAGTCATAAGTTTCCTTGATCATATTCCATCAATGTGGACTATTATATATTTCTTGGTTACTTAATATATCTTGATCTTGCATTTTGTTGTTCAAGATGCTAAAACAAGATGGGTGGTTAGAGAGCCTAATGTATCTTGAAGCATATTGGATCTAGTTAAAATTTATATGTCAAAAGCTAAACTGTCCAATCAGCATTTTATTTATATTTGTGGGATGCAAATTTTGATTGTTGAATTTTGGCTTCCACTTTGTGTTCATTTCAAAGTTCAACCGTGTAAACATTTATTCTAAAAAATTGTTAGTCTCTTTTGATTTATATTCACTCTCTGAAGTGAAGTAGATTCGTGCACATGCAAAGTACATGGGAATTCCTTTATTGCGTGATGATGTGTATGGAGGGACAAAGAGCATGGCTTTCTCACTGCTGTGGCCTAGAACCTCACCCAGCTATCATGGTCAAATTTCAGAATTGATTTCTGGACTAGAGAAGCCTTTCCTTCACGCCTTGTCTCTTGGGTTAGAAGATGAATCTCAAGTCTACAATCTTTACTTCTCTTTCATGGTAATCAGAAATTGATGTGGTAATTACTGCTGTTCTTTTCTTTTATAGTTTCCAGCACCCATACACAGGTGAGAAGGTACATATTTCATGCCCACCTCCTCCGGATTTTGCTGAGGTTTTGAGGCAGCTTTGCAACATTAGCACAGAAGGTAAGTTCTCATAAAGACACTCGTTTCTTCTAGAAAATTAATCAGCACATATGTTAATGATATATGTGGAACAAAAATCCATTAATAGATATTGGCTCTTCAATAATAAAATAGATCAGGAGGAATT